CAAACTGCGGGAGTTCCGAGTTCTATTCAGGTGGAGGGTAATCTTTGTCTTAACCACAAATTTTAGCATAGAATTTAGCACACGCTGTTTCAAACCGGGTTTACTCAATCGTTAGACTGTTTGATGCAACCTCGAACCCCGGTTTCGAGATCCGTTCGCCATCACTAACCTTTCTTTATATATATATTTATATATTTACTTGCAAGTACAGTGCACATACAAGCAACAACTGCGTACATGGGATATCATGATCCCCTTTCTCCAGACCACTTGTGTGTTCCCCATTATCATTGCAGTTTGACAGCCAAGTGTTAGCCACAACATGCCTCGTTCGCCTGACGCTTTAGCATTTTAGAGCAGATTTCGTCGATACCAGCAGCCATGGTAATGACTTGCATATTGTTTGGCAATATGTATTTATTAAAGTTACTTAAGCTATTTTATTTCTTTTGTTTAGAAACCTTCTGAACACATTCTCTTTGCCGCTTTGTCGAAAACGTTCGCTGTTTCTGCTACGTACCCGTATCAAGTGGTTCGCCTTCGGTTACAAGACCAACATGCTACATATGGTGGCATTGGGGATGTGATTTCCAAACTCTGGCGGTAAGTTTACTGTTAAGCTACATCGATGTGTGGCCACTTCATTCGATGTTGCTTTCAGTTATGAAGGCATAATCGGGTTCTACAAAGGAATGCTGCCGAGCATCCTCAGGGTGACTCCCGCGACCTGTGTAACCTTTGTAGTCTTCGAATGGGTGTCCCGTCACCTGAAAAATCGCAGGGCAAAGTTATGCAAATGAATGTTACAACTGTGGACTCATGTCATTGATCTTCTTCCTAAGATAACTTAGGAGATTACCGGTGAGGGCAGCTTGCTCCGTTTTCCAGACAAATGGTCAGTAAATAGAAGCTACTTATTGACAGTTGTCGTTCTACCTGTATTTTTATTACATTCGGTTTTGCGTATTTCTGACAAAGCCTTAGGCATCGATTTTCTACTTGATGTTGTTTTTGTTGATTGTGGACTATTTTTGACTGTTACTTCGACGATTTCTGCGTTGTTTCAATGTTTTCAGTGAACAGGTATGTCCTTGCTCAGCGTTTAATCAATGAATGTGTTAAAAATTTGAATTTTTTGCTAATTCCTCTTTGAGTACTCAGCATCAATGTGTTTTATGTGGTTTTACTTGTTATGTATGTACGTGTCAATTTGTTTACTGTTTACATGAACTATAAATCATTTTTAGCTTGAACCCTTTAAAATGTTGCCTAATTTCCTTTTCTTAATATTCTAGGAGGTCATCGCTTGTCGTTTGTTTTATAGGATATCATATGTAGAACAAAAATTCATATGTAAGGATTGCTCTGCACCTTGGACCTTATTAAGTAAACAAAATCTCAACAACTCTTAACTGCATTGTGCAAGGGACAAATGAATTGCCGAGTCATTAATAATGCATGATGTGTTTTGCATTATAAACGTATATGTTGCCTTATCGTTGAAGCTGTTGCTCAGCTCTCTGGCCTGGGGGGGGGGATCGTTTGCACAGTGAGTTAGTAATTAGCTTTATACTTTAGAGATTCCGAGTTCAAACCTCTCGATATTCTTCCCATATTGCTAATTCTCTGCAGCGAATTCATCTTGCCATATTTTGGTGCATCGACCGAAAAATATCATGCCGTTGACGTAGAAACCTAGGAATAATAATGACAGCGTGGAGCGGTTGGGTAATCATGCAAATGCGTGTGAAACATACGGTCATGACATCTGCTGTGTGCACCTTCCATTTGCAATTCGCCTTGATGTTTCTGATTGGTGACAAAGAATCAGCACAATGTGTAAGCGTTAATTTAAATTTATCTGATAATGATATGAGTTTTGTCGTAACTAAGTGAAGTAAATGCACGTTTATCAAAGTATTAGTGTGTTAAGCCATGGATAATCAATATGTACATACATTTTATCTTTCAAGCGTATCATTAAGCGGTAATACGCTTTACAAGCCTCAAATGGTGAACCTTTCGGCACTCTTTTTACTTGACTCACTCCATCGAGTCAGTCACTTGATATCCGTCAGATATTCCTTTCGGGTCTTAGAGGCAGACTTGTCATCCAGTGTCTCTTACAATAACTTACTTATTGTTACCCAATCACCAATGTTTGAGCTTTTGCAGAATGTAACCGCAGTCTGGAGCAGCTTCTTTTAAGACACATCCCAGGTTATTCTTGGTCGTCTCCATGGTCTTCGCCGGTGAGTTTAGCAAGTAGGTCAATCTGCAGAGTAGGCCACTGTACTACAGGGTGTGCTCAGATATCTGTATTCAGGTTCCTTTGAGTGTCCAGAAAATCGTCTCTAAAAGCCATTTTGACTGCTTGTACCCGGAATCGAAGTTTTTCATTCGTTGCCAACGACTCATGTCTGTAGTTAAGCATGGCGATGAAATTTGACTTAAATACCAACAGCTTATTCTTCGGACTCAGCTCTACGTTGATTGTAATGATTCGGGCTAGTTCATGCAGAACGCTACTGGCTATTCCAATCCGCCGATCGACCCCTTCCTCAAATTTTCCATCATTAGGAAACACGACCCCGAGGTTCTTGAAGTTCTCCATCTGCTTCACTGTCTTTCCATTAATCCGAAAAGAGCAATGGACAAGAGAG